CTTCCTCTGGAAACCGGGGAGCTCACCTGAATTCCTCCCTTCCTCCCTCTCCCAAAATACCCTTATTAGCTGAAGACTCATGACCCTTGGTTTTTGGTCCTGCTCTTCTAAGTGTTTAATTTAAATTTTGGTCAAGACTAGTCCTGTCCTAGTTTATATTTTAGTGTTATCAAGTTTTAATTTACCCATATTCTTCAGTAATAAGCATCTAAGTAGATTATATGTGTTGGCCATATAGCTTTCTGTAAATTTGTTCATTTAACTGTCAATTCTTGTTAGGGATGTTTTGTGTAGCAGAATGATTTGAGGACAAAACCAGCACAACCGTCTAACTCTGTGAGCGAAAGGCATACAGAGCCAGCTCTGCTGTGTTTGCCTGGTATGACTTCCATTTAAGTGAGATCTGAAATGAAATGCTTTCTTTGTGTTCTCAGTCTGAAATTGGACAAAAGTGAAAGCCACAAAACAAACTGGTATACTTTATTATTTTTGGATAATTATACTGTAGACAGAAGATTATGGAACTGCTTTTAATGAGGTGAGAGTAATTTACTTAGCATCTGGGCTGACTGTTAAGCTGGCATTGTTTCTGACTTTAGCTGCAGTGTTTCATGTTGGTGTAGGCTTTTGGTCTGTTTGAAATTTAAGCATAAGTATACGGCCATACTTAATTTCTCTAGCCTCTCTCACTGTTTCTCACGTACCTCTCTCAGGCTGTTTTCTGCCTACAATATGAGCAAAAACATGTATAATTATTTTTCTTATTACTCAGCTAATTCCTCATCTATAGAAAGAGGATGTCAAGCTTGAACACTCTCTGATTCCTTAACTGGCCAGAATGTACTAGGTTCCCCCTTCCCTGTAGCCTGCATTTGCATGCCATTGATGGATTTCAGTGCCAGGATTGGATAGCAAAGGCTCAAGAAGGGTGCAATGGCTGATGCCTCTAATCCTAGCACTTTGGGAGGCCGAAGTGGGCGGATCACCTGAGCTCAGGAGTTCGAGATCAGCCTGGGCAACATGGTGAAACCCTGTCTCTACTAAAATACAAAAAAATTAGCCAGGTGTGACGGTGTGTGCCTGTAGTCCCAGCTACTTGGAAGGCTGAGGCAGGAGAATTGCTTGAACCTGGGAGGCAGAGGTTACAGTGAACTGAGATCGTGCTGTTGCACTCCAGCCTGAGCGACAGAGTGAGACTCTGTCTCTTAAAAAAAATGAGTACAGTCATCTCTTAGTTTCCTCAGGTGTTGTTTCTAGGACCCCCTTCAGATACCAACATCTGAGAATGCTCAAGCCCCTGTTATAAAATGGCACAGTATTTGCGTAGAACCTAAGCACATCTGCCTGTGTCCTTTAAATCATCTCAAGATTACTTATAATATCTAATAGTGTAAATACTATGTAAATAGTTGTTATACTGTATTTTGTATTGTTGTATTGTTATTTTTTATTTTTTTCCCAAATATTTTTGATCTGTGGTGGACTGAATACATAGATGCAGAACCTCAGGATACACAGAGTCAGTTGTAATTGCAAAGCGTGGAATGTGGGTACTTTTCAGCTTTATTTTCCTATAGCTTTCTAGTATTACCTGACTATTGAAAAGTAATGTTTACTTTAAAAAGTAACAGTTCAACCGAGCAAATAAGTCTGCTGTAGAATAGAAATTAACTGTTTATTACCTAAGTACCGAAAACGTTTATCCATTTTTAGATGACATAAGTAAAATGTCAAGAGACACATAAAACCACTTAGGTGCCCTTTCTTATGCTTTCTTCTATTGAAAAGGCAGTTACCGTCACATTCAACTGCTTTATCCTCTACTAAGTAGCTTCAGCTTGTATAGTAGAGTGTTAGAATTTTAAGATATATTTTAATTTACTTGATTAAAAAAAGTAAGGAAAGTCAGTCATTACAGGCCCCAAAGAAATCCTTGTCTGCCCTCATGCTGAAATACATCCCCCCAAACCCAGAGGATGTTCATCATTTTCATGAATTCAAAGCATTCCAGAAAAGCTGATGGAAGATACTCCTTTGTGCTGTGAAAATGCATCACCACTATCATGGGAAGCAGGGATGACAAGTTTTCTATAACAGGAACAGTGAATACAACTTGAGGGAATACAGTTAAGCAAATGATGTCATATGAGTTTAAAACTATTGATACCATGCAACCATCAAGGAGGAGGATGTCTCCAACCAAAATAGCTTGTTTTTTTCCTCAAAATGGAATGAAGCCGGCATGGTGGCTCATACCTGTGGTCCTAGCACTTTGGGAGGCTGAGGCAGGAGGATTGCTTGTGGCCAGGAGTTTGAGACCAGCCTGGACAATATGTGAGACCCTGTCTGTGCAAAAAAAATACAAACATTGGCTGAGTGTGGTGGCGTGTGCCTGTGGTCTCAGCTACTGGGGAGGCTGGGGAGTGAGGATCGCTTGAGGCCAGGAGGTGGAGTCTGCAGTGAGCTGTGATCACGACACTGTACTCCAGCCTGGGCAACAAAGTGAGAGCCTATCTCAAAACAAGAACAAAAACAAAACCCAAACAGAATGGAGTCAAGGAGTAGAGGAGGCAGGTAAATAAAGATAGAAATGCAGGGGTAACTAAGTGTCTGTACGTAGATATGCATGCATCTACAGAAACTAAAGGCAAGGTCTCTAGTGTCCAGCGTGACTCCCCGGTGACCATTTTCTCCCACTTGAGGAATTGCAAAGTATGAAAGCATTTTGATTTGAGGCTGTAGTCCCTGTGACTCCCTCTTTCTCCTTGTGCTTCTGTACCGAAAGTGGGTGAGGAGCCTCAGCTGATGGGAACGAGTGAGTGCAGAGTCGTACAGCTGGGTGGGGAGACATGATGATGATACATTCCAATGAATTTAAGTAATTCCTTGTGCATCTTATATGTATTGTGAGGGATAACCATTTGTAGTATATCTTGATGAAAATGTGAAAATTTTTTTCAGGGAACACTGTCTGCTTTTTAGATTTTCTTTCCATTTTCTACCATTCTAAAAAGTAGTACAATCACATTACTTTAGATAAAAGAGAAGCAGCAGGGGAGGGGGACTCACGTCGACACTGACATACTGTGGGCACTGTTGGTATATTTGCTAATGGTTTTCCCTGTGTGTTTTTGTTTATTCATTCATTATATCCCCACCCCACTCCTAGACTCCAGTTCAAATCCTGGTTCTTCCACTTAATAGGTTTGGAGCCTTGGGCGAGTTTCTTAACTTTACTGAGCCTCATTTCCTTATCTGTAAAATGGAGATGTTATCTGCTTCATAGGTTATGAGAATTAAATGAGATGATGTACTTCAATTTACTTAATGTATTTTAAATACCTAGCTTAATCTTACCATTTGACTCATGGTAGGATGGGACCAATGTATACATTTTAATATAACATATATATACACACATGCGTGTGTGTGTGTATATGTATGTATATAAATGTGTGTGTGTGTATATATATATATAATGTTTTTTGACTTCTTTTAGTATAGAAAATGCTAACTTTATTCCCAAGTAAGTGCAAGACATTTTAAGTTGCCTGTGGAAGTTCAGACATGATAATTCCCTGCCTGTGACTGTGTGAAGGTAGATAGAAGACTTGAGTTCACAGAAACAAATGATTACCTGTGGTAATGTAGATGTTAACAGGATCTGTTATTAATGAATCTGTTGACTGGTTTTCCTTGCTGTGGCTCGTTTTAACCTTTGAAATATGTGTTACGAGAAAAGGAGTGCTGTTTTTTTAATGATGCTAACTTCATCAAAGCTACCTGTAATGTTCTTATTTTGTGATTATAATAAACATTTTGTGGGATAAAATTGTTATTTTAGTCCTTTCAGGAGAAAATCAAGAAAGAATTTTCAAGTGAGTTTCCTATTTTTCTTAGTCTAAGTCACTTGGAAGTTTAAACCTTAATTTTTGGGTGTGCTTCAAAAACTAGAAGAATAAAAAAAGTTGTTTTAAAATTTCTTAACTTGTCAATATAAACAAATGCTTTGAATCTTAGCAAGAATCTATATTTTGAGGCTTTCTTTGGCTTTAATACAAATTGTACATTTTAGAAGATGGTAGATAATTTGTGTTTGCATGAATTTCTGAAAGTATTTAAACACAGTTTATGTCATATGCTATGTGAGGTTTATTTTTGGGGTGGAAGTAATAAGTCCTCAGTTTATGTTTACTTTAATTTTTTTTTGGTTTTGTGTTTTTAAAAATATACCATGTTTATTGCCTATATCCAAGAGGATGAAAAATAGTGTTTTGGGTTTTCCTGGATAGTTAATGATATAGAGCCTTTTCCAAAGAGGATTTCACCTTTAATTTTATTTTATGCATAATCAGATTTTAAGCTCTATAAAATTTTAATTTAATGTCTAAATTTATATACTTGAACTTGAGTTCCTTGGTTTTAATTATAAATTTTATCATGGCCAGGTCATCCATTTAAAGGCCAATTTAAGTGCAAAAAGAACAAATAATTGCTGTAGCCATTCTTTTGCATTCCTGTATTTCAGATTTCAAATAACTGGTCGGGGAACAATTGGATTAGCTTCTAATTAATTTTTATTATTTTGGAGAAAGCTTTTTATGAATTGTGAGGACTGTGACTACTGTCAAGATACATATGCCTATAAACTTGTTACTATGTATTAAAATTGTTTGCTCACATAAATTTGTAAGAATACCTCTCTTCTTTGCCCTAAGCAAAATGCAAAAGTAACAGAATTGGAACTCTGCTAAAAGGGATGTTTTTAGCTCATACTTTGAGATGAGCCTGACTACATAGCACATACTGTGATTTTACAGGATAAAGAATTGTACGCAGGACATGTAACTTTCAAGTTGGCTTTTCCCTTGGGCTTAGAATCAATTACTGTAGTATTTGAAATGAAGGATGTATAATTATCTGGAGGTTTAACCACGGTTCTTTGCATATTAGAAAGTACTTAGTAGGACCAACCCTGTTTCCCCCTTTGGTTTGTTTAGAAGACTTGCACTATCTGCCAGATGCTGCTTCCTAACCAGTGCAGTTATGCATCACACCAGAGAATCCATCAGCACAAATCTCCCTACACCTGCCCTGAGTGCGGGGCCATCTGCAGGTCGGTGCACTTCCAGACCCACGTCACCAAGAACTGTCTGCACTACACGAGGAGAGTTGGTTTTCGGTCAGTATTATCATTCACTTATGTGCAAGTAAAACTCGTTCACTTACAACCGCACAGCATTTTGAGTGGTCTGCACACACGGTTTTCTGGGTCATACAGTGATACCTCGATTAACAGATCCTCTGGGAACCTAGCTCGTTTGTAGAGTCCATCTGTTTGAATCCTCTTAATGTAATGTCGGCCCTGCTGGTCCTCACAAATCGGAGGGTCATGGGGCCTGTCCTTTTAGGCGCAGTCTTGCATGTGTGCAGGTGTGACTTTGACTGTCAGGTTTTTCTGTGCCTCTACCGTTTTTAACAGACTTTTGCTATCATACTCTTTGCATTTTAACCCCTGCAAGAAAACTATACATTCTGTACCTCTTAATATTTCCCCTTCTCATGAAAACAGAAATAGTGCAATGGTCTTTTATTTTGTCCACGTTGAAGGATGGGGTGTATGTCCCAGCCTTGCACTCCAAATAACTTCCTCCTCCTCCCCACTCCTCCTCCTCTCCCTCCTCCCTTCCTCCTCCTCCTCTCCCTCCTCCCTTCCTCCTCCTCCCTCTCCTCCCTTCCTCCTCCTCCTCCCTCTCTCCCCTTCTCTCCCCTGTCTTCTCCTCTCCTCTCCCTCCTCCCCCTTCCTCCTCCTCCCTCTCCCCTTCTCCCTCCTCCCCATTTACTCCTCCCTTCTCCTCCCTCCCTCTTCTCCCCTTCCTCCCTCTTCTCCCCTTCCTCCTCCTCCCTCTCCCCATTCGAGTTCTCTCATTCCTCCCTTGTCTCTTCTGTGTATCTTCACTGTGGTCCCTTTTACTGCCCCCCAGGATTCTCAGATGTGCATTGTACAACATCTGGCAAATCTAATGTTAGCTAGTGTTGAATGATGATACATTTGAACTTTTTTCTCCATCTTATGACCTTCTGGTGCCTTTTATATTTTCACTAAGAAGATTCCACCAGAAAACATGTCCATTGATACACAGTGTCTTTGTTAATAGAGGTATTACTGTACTATATGTTTATCTTAACATTACGTATTTGCTTACCTGGTACCTTTGTTAGATTGTTAATATGCAATGATTTTTTTTTTTACCTGTAATAAATTATGTTTAATAAAAATGAAGTCCAGTTAGCATGATTTGATGGTTTTATTTAAGTTTAGGTTATGTTATCATCAATTCCTAGGTGGTTCTGCCCAGTTTTCCATTAATAACACTAAGCTATGAGACTTACTTCACATTTTATCGCATGCCTCCAAACCTGTAATGCACAAGTGTTTTATGAATTGAGATCTAGCCTGGTGGAAACCTTTGGCTTGGAAATCAAGAAACCAGTTTTCTTGTACCACTTCTGCCAGTAACTAATTATGTGGTAATTCACGTATTCTCTCTGTACTGTGGTGCCTCTGTCTATAAAATTGGTGCATTGTCTGTCTCCAGCTCCACTGGGATGTTACTGAGTAAAACAGGATAATCAAAGGTGCCCCAGATCTGCAAAGTCCATGCAGAGTAATACTTTCGTTCTTGCCATCACGTTTTGAAACTATTATTAATAATGGATTCTGCGTTTAATAATAGAAAGCAGCTCTGCAGCACTTCCCAAGTGCTCTTCTTTGCACTGATGTCGAATTTTTCTCAAATGTTTAGTTTTTCTAATATAATGAAAGTAAACTTAGGTTGGTATGACTAAAAGAAGTATGACTTCTGCAATTTTAGCTATTGCTGCTGTCTTTCCTGAATTAAAACAGAAGCTCCACATGCAGGCTGAAAGTAATCAGCCCACTTGGGAAAAGACCATCCTTGCCCTTCTGTTCTTTTGCCCTACTCACAGAGTTGTTCAAATTTGGTATTTTGAATTGCATATTTCAAGTTGTTAACCAAAAATTTTGTGTTCAGTGTGGATTTTTTTCTCCCTGGACTTGAGGCTCTATGGGGCTGGTAAAAAATGATGTGTTGTGAAGTTTAGTTCATATTGACTGCTCCTTTAGAAGACAGGAACATTTTTAACCGTAATGCTTTTCCTCTGCTGCTTCATGTAATGGTCCATGTTCATGTTTAAGTGGGGCTTAGTACCCCTGTGGCCTTGTCATGTTTTCTGCTCCCTTTGGCTTTATAGTTACTCATTTTCAATATGTCTTTTCTTTAGCCAGAGGAGTCTAATGTGGCAGCATGGTTCCCACGCCTCACTTTGTCTCGTCTTGGTACAGTGTGCCTTGCTGTCTCTCCTCCTGCTCATGTTACATCTCCCAAATATTGATGGGTCATCCCTGGCTCGTGGTTAGCTTCGTAAAAGTTATATATTGGTAAAAGTCAAATATTTTTTCTGAATTTTCCTGCCTCTTGATACACTGGACTCTGTATCTAGAAAGGGGAATGGTTATAGGATTTTATACTGTAAACTTTTTTTTTTTAATTCAAAAAATAAAGAAAGTTTATTGCTATCCAGAACAGGACTTCAGGATATTACGTATTTCTTAGTAGACAGGATTTTTCATAGCATTAAGATACTGTGTGAGCCGTTCGAAGTCTGCCTTTCTTTGTCTTATTTACATCCCCCATTGGCCTCTGTTGCCCCCTGAAACTCCTCTTCTTCCTGTAGGCAGATGTTGTATGACTTTTTAAAATACCCTGCTTTCGTTTCTTACTTGTTAAAGAGGGTTTCCCTTGGCCTCCATGGCGTTCTCTGGGTTGAGTCACAGCCACTTCCTTTTGCTTCAAAAAATTCCATCTTTATTTTAGATACTTCCTTTTTATTTGCTGTACATTAAACCTTCCTCTCACTCCGAGTGACTTTAGGTTATTATTGCTTTTCTCTGTATTCCTTTTTGTCCTTCCTGGGTCTTTTGCCCTTTGAACACCACCATCTTTCTATCCTTCATGGGAAAATCTTCTGTTTATAGTTATGGTGTGGTGGGTCCTTCAGTTTCATTAATTACTTATCTACTTTTGTCTTACATAATCTTCCTCTTTCATGGGAGTTGTAGGCTTCTAGGTTTGGGAAGAACTAAAAATGATCTATTTTAACTCTTCTCATTTTACAAATGAGTAACTGGCTCAGAGAGGAGCATTAACCTGTTCAAGATAACCCAGTAAGTTAACCCAAAATGGTTTCAGTATGCTTGGGTGGCTCTATTGCCTGAAATACCAGTTTAAGTAGATAGGCTAGCGAGGCTTTCCTTTTATTCTCCTGTTGTTATTTAGTGTTTTAACATAGCTGTTGCTGAACATAATGCCTTAAGTCACTGGAAATGCTAATGCATTGGTTATGATTTTTAACAGAATGCTTGCAAAGCCTAAATAGAATGCATGCAATCCAGAACATGCCACTCCTGTGTAACTTTGGAAGCATCTCCATGATTCAGAAGGGAGGTTCTAAGAATAGAAGCATCTTAGATTGTCATAGACGTCTTTGGATACTTCCCCCTGGAAACCAGGCCTTGTCTGCAGTCTTTCTTCCCTGGGTAGTTTACATCCGGGAGCACGTATGTTCAGTTGTATTAGAAGTATATTTCTGGAGACTTTTGTACCTGCAGAGAGACCACTCTTAAATAGTTTTCAGGTGTGAACAAGGAAGACTTGGTCATCAAGTGGAGGTGTTATAAGTGTTGCTTAGAGTCTTTGTGTGAAAAAGAGGAGATAGAGGAGAAATGTATTTTAGTTTTAAAGTTTGTCTTCATTGGATTATATTTGAGCAAGTAATTAGCTAATTGTGAGATTATAAGCTAGAGAGACAATTTTTTTTTAAGAGATGCTGAATTTTCAGAGGTTTATAATTCATGCAATTTCTTAAACAAATGCAAGTGTACTTAAATGTATTTTCTAGGAGACAGAACACCTAGGTGGTTGACCTTCTCTATCCTGTGGACCACCATGAACCCTGCATACATTGACCACATCAGTGTGTACCAGGAAACAGTGGGCCGAGGCCTTGGAGCCAGAACTTCTTTGTTCTTCTCTGCCCCTGTGTTCATGGCATGTAGGTTTAGACACTGAAGATTTCTTCCATTAGAAATGCCATTTAGGTCCTGGGGATGGGTAGGAAACTCAGAGCCCAGGTGCCAGCATCCAGCATGTGGAGGCCTCTCCAAAAACAGTAGTCTGGAGACTTGACATCCATTCTTAAAAATGTTAATTAAAGATGCTCCAAAAATAGACTATTTGAGTTTCATTTTTCTTCTTCATGATCTTTTCTCTTAAACATATAAAAATAGGCTGGGCATGGTGGTTTACACCTATCATCCCAGCATTTTGGGAAGTTGAGGTGGGCGAATTACTTGAGGCTAGGAGTTTGAGACCAGCTTGGCCAACATAGCGAAACCCCATCTCTACTAAAAATACAAAAATTAGTTGGGCGTGGTGGTGCACACTTGTGATCCCAGCTACTTGGGAGGCTGAGGCATGAAAATTGCTTGAACCTGGGAGGTGGAGGTTGCAATGAGCCGGGATCACACCACTGCACTCCAGCCTGGGCGACAGAGCGAGACCTTGTCTCAAAAAAAAAAAAAAAAAAACACACACACAAAAAGCATAAAAAATTAAATTGATTTGTAATAGGAAAAAAAACTAAAATATACTTCCAAAGGGCCATTAAAAGCCTAAAAGGGCTATGAAAGTATGTTCATCTCACCCGGTTTTTGCAGTTACGCGTGTGTTATGGTCTTGTGCTAATGACCATGTGTTTATTTTTCTAACAGATGTGTGCATTGCAATGTTGTGTACTCTGATGTGGCTGCTCTGAAGTCTCACATTCAAGGTTCTCACTGTGAAGTCTTCTACAAGTGTCCTATTTGTCCAATGGCGTTTAAGTCTGCCCCAAGCACACATTCCCACGCCTACACACAGCATCCTGGCATCAAGATAGGAGAACCAAAGTAAGTCATACCGACTTTCGATTTTTACTCCACTGCTTTATTAGTAATTTAGAGGCGAGGTGTAGTAGTCGTTCTATTGAATAACATTTACCGAGATCTGAAAAATTACGCAGCTATGCCAATTTTGATGCTTTACGAAATACAGCTCAAAGCTCATCCAGATCTTTCTATTCTTTCCAGGTAAAGACATTGTCCAAAAATGTTACCTATTATTTATGCTCTTGTCACGAATTTTTGCTCAGCAAGTAAATTATTTATATATTTTTTTCTTAAGATGAATTTTTTTTTTTTTGGGGGGGGGACAGAGTCTTGCTCTGTTGCCCAGGCTGGAGTGCAGTGGTGTGATCTCGGCTCACTGCAACCTCCGTCTCCTGGGTTCAAGCGATTCTCCTGCCTCAGCCTTCTGAGTAGCTGGGACTACAGGTGCATGCCACCACATCCAGCTAATTTTTTGTATTGTTAGTAGAGACGGGGTTTTATCGTGTTAGCCAGGATGGTCTTGATATCCTGATCTCGTGATCCCCCCACCTCAGCCTCCCAAAGTGCTGGGATTACAGGCGTGAGACACCATGCCCAGCCTCTGAAGATGATATTTAACAACTCCTAGGAAAACTTTTTTAGAAACCCTCTCATCTTTAAATTTTTCCATAGTTCCTTTTTTATAGGGTACACTTTTGCTTAAAAGTAACATTTTTAAGATGAAAGCAACTTAAGACACTGGTTACTGAATTTAACTTCATAGCCAGTATAAGTCCCTGATTAGTAAAATTTTTTTTGCCTTAATCTTGCTCTTAATTTGATTGATTTTTGCTGTGTGGAGTCTTTAGTAATGAAGTGGTTCTTTGGCAAACAGGGGCTGGCTGCCTGCAGTAGGGGCAGCTTAGCAAAGAGGAGGGAGTGTAGGCACTGGAGCCAGTCGGAATCCTGCCACCCACTGGCTGGGTGACCTGGGGCCTGCACTGTCTCAGCCGCCATCTTCTCCCCCGTGAAGTGAGGGTCCTGCTTCAGTGAGAGAGATGACGTATTTAAAATGTGTAGCACGATAGTCCCTGTGTCTGGAGCACGGAGGGCTCTGTCAGCATTCGTTCGTTCCTTTGTGTCTTCACTCCCTCCTTGTGCACACAGCACTGGATTAATGCTCCTGATTATGCCCATTTTATTCCTGGATTAGTTATGGCAACATAGAGTTTGATCATTACAAGAAGCTAGATTTGCCGTCCAAATCTGTTGGTGTTTTTTTGCCCATATCTCCATAATTAAGGAAGTATTAGGGGGAAGATATGCAGGTATGCCATATTTTACACACACATACACACACACACCCACACACACACACACACACACACCTGGCTTTTGTTGAAACATTTAGTTTTGAGGAAACGTGATTGAATACTATAGAAGTAACTGCTTTATATATATAAACAAACTGTGTTGAAGTTAAATTTTATTTTAATAAGACCTTCATTCTGATCTTTGTGGGGTGATCCCAAAATGAAACACATTACACATTCAGGAATCCATACATGGCTTGATGGCCCTGAAGATGGGGATTAGTGAATTTTACTGTCTTCAGTTTTCAGGACAGTTAGACTTCTGGGTACTAATGCAGCCTTTCCCCTGGAGTGAATGTAGTTTTTATTTGGTTCTTTATTAAAATAAATAAAATTTAATTGTCAGAAATGTGTGTGACATCTGAAACAGTAGTTGTTACTCAGAATGTAAGGAAGCAAATGATTAAAATAGGCTAAAACCGTATTCTTCAAATTTGGCTATTGTATAGAAAGCAATTATTCCAGTGTTTTCTTTTCTTTCTCTCTTTTTTTTGAGATGAAGTCTCTTTCTAATCCAGGCTGGAGTGCGATCATGCCTCACTGCAGCCTCGACCTCCTGGGCTCAGGTGATCCTCCTGCCTCAGCCTTTCTAGTAGTTGGGACCACAGGTGCGCACGTGCACCACCACGCCTGGCTGATTTTTCAGTTTCCTGTAAAAGACGAGATCTTGCCGTGTTGCCCAGGCTTGTCTTGAACTCCTGGGCTCAAGCAGTCCTTCCAAAGTGCTGAGATTGCAGGTGCGAGCCACTGCACCCCGCCCCAGTATTTATTTTCTTCCTTTCCTTCTCTTTCCCTTTCCCTTTCCTTTCCTTCTCTTTTCTTTTCCCTCCCCTCCCCTCCTCTCCTGTTTCTTTCTTTCCTTCTTTCCTTCCTTCCCTCCTTCTTTCATTCCCTCCCTCCCTCCCTCCTTCCTTCCTTCTCGGAGTCTCTGTTGCCCAGGCTGGAGTACAGTGGCATAATCTCAGCTCACTGCAAGATCCGTCTCCCGGGTTCACACCATTCTCCTGCCTCAGCCTCCCGAGTAGCTGGGACTACAGGCGCCCGCCACCACGCCCGGCTAATTTTTTGTATTTTTGGTAGAGACGGAGTTTTACCATGTTAGCCAGGATGGTTTCGAACTCCTGACCTTGTGATCTGCCTGTCTCGGCCTCCCAAAATGGTGGGATTACAGGCGTGAGCCACTGCACCCGGCCCCTCCCTCCCTCCCCTCCCTCCCTCCCTTCCTTCCCTCCCCCCTTCCCTCCTTCCTTCCTTCCTTCCTTCCTTCCTTCCTTCCTTCCTTCCTTCCTTCCTTCCTCAGTTCTTTAACAAGTGCAAGCCTAAAAATAGGTGCTGTATTTTAAATTATAAAAATGAAACAAATTTATAGAAGTGGTTAACAAAACTCCAAAGCCAGTGAAAGATAAGTTAATCGCATGGATTCAGTGTGAGGGCTAGTCTGGCTGCCTGGAGCCCTCACCCGCAGCCTGGCTGTGGCAATGGGGGCTGCTGCACCAGCTCTGTTGGGCCTAGTAGGCCTGTACTGCAGTGTGCCCAAGATAACCCTCCCTCACCCCCTTTTCCAATTAAAGCTAAGGTAAAAGCTTTCATCCTGTGGCTGTTTGGCCTACATTTGACCCAAGATTTCTTCTGGCATTAAATCCATCTCTATCCTGTTTACGTTAGTCCAGAATGACTAAGTAGTCCCAGCTCAGGCACTGAAATCCCCCTGCAGTATTTGTTTAACAGGTGGTTATACAAATGACGTAAATTTATGCAAATGATTTGCATTAATTTTTTAAATGATCAGTGTTAAAATAACCTCTCACCCGTTTTTCTTAGAGAACATATGGATGTGTGAAAATATACCCGTGAAGTCCCATAGTCCCAGCATCCCAGTTCAAAAAGCATGGCACGCGATTTTTCTTTGATCTACTGTGTTTACTGTGTGCTGGGTACTGTTGCAAGCGCTTTGTTTCTTGTTTTCCAGTGGGTGGGCAGGCATAGTACCCTGCTGTTTAAAAGGAAACTTTGAGTACCCCTTAATCTTTTCTGGATAATTTGGGATCATTTTGAATGTCTATTACTGTATCTCTTTTTTTTTTTTTCTTTTTTTGAGATGGAGTCTCGCTGTGTTGCCAGGCTGTGGTGCAGTGGCGCAATCTTGGCTCGCTGCAACCTCCGACTCTCTGGTTCAAGCAATTCTCCTGCCTTAGCTTCCTGAGTAGCTAGGATTCCAGGCATGCGCCACCACGTCCAGCTAATTTTTGTATTTTTAGTAGAGATGAGGTTTCGCCATGTTGGCCAGGATGGTCTCGATCTCCTGAGCTTGTGATCCACCTGCCTCAGCCTCCCGAAGTGCTGGGATTATAGGTGTGAGCCACCACGCCTGGCCTGTATCTTATGGTAATGAAGTTTTGTGTCTGCTTCTATTTTTTCCTTGACTGCTGATTAACAGCAGTTTCTTTTGCTATGTCTTCCATTTATTGGCAATGTCTAAATGTATGTAAGTGGAGAAATGAGAACTTCAAAATAAGAATTGTATAAGAGACAGAGTTTTTGAACATGTTCCTAAGAAGTAGAACATGTTCCTAAGAAGTAAAACATGCAAAATTAGAATAGAGGCATGAGAGAGGAGTATGGAGTCAGAGGAAGCTGAATTTGAACCTTGACCCTGAAATCTATTTAACACCAAGTAGATTATCTAGTCTCACTAAGTACTGCTGTCCCATCTGTGAAATGGCAGCAGTGTCATCTACCTAACCGGGGCTGTGGGGATTAGGTATATGATGTGGAGGATGGTGCTTTGCCCCTAGCTGGATTCAATTGATGGTAATGTAGGAGGCTTATGGCAGCAATTTCAAAGCTTGGAGTCTTTTATTTGTTTGTTGTGACACCTGTTTGAAGTGTTTTGGAGAGTTTGTTGCTGTAAATTTGACCTCACTGACTATGGGTATTTGGTTTTAGCTTTTTATTCTTTTCTCTTTCTCCTTCCTTTCCCCTTCCTCCTCTCCTCCTCTCTCTCTCTCTTCCCTCTTCTCCCTCCCCTGCTGCCTTCGTTGTGGTGTAGTCACCCTGCTACTCACCCAGTCTTGCATTTAGGATTAGGTCCAGACTTCCAGGTTTGGCCTTCAAAGCCCTGCACAACTCTAAAGCACCCTCTGTCGCCACTCCCACACCCCTGGGAGCCCAGCCACACTGGGATTCTCACTGTTTCCCAGCAAACCGTGCCCAGTAGACCCCTGCCTTTGTGCAGACTGGTCTCTCTATCTTGAATGCCACCCCTCCTCTCTGCCTGGCAGCTGGTCTCCCTGGGGATTTTCCATTTTCGTTGGAGAGTTTGCTCCATCCTCAGATTCTGCTCCTAAAAGACATGTCTGTGAGGTTTGTCACATTTGGACTTCAAAAAAAAAAAATCAACTGCAGTTTTTAATGGATTTTATCCTACAAAAAAAGCTGGAAGAACATGGAGAGAACGCGTGCATCTTTTCCCCCCAGATTGCTCAGTTGTTAGCGTTGCAATCCTTGGTCTGTCTCCTTCCCTGCTTTGTATTTAGGAGGAAAGGGGAACCATGATGTAAATACTTTGGTGTGTTCTGGTCCCTTCCACAAAAGGAACTTGTGTAAATAACCTCCATGCAGCGGCCCCAGTCAGGAAGTCTGTTGATTATAATACAGTCCAGTTCGTTGACTTCATCCAGATTCCTCCCAGTTGTTAGACGTGTCTTTCTCCTCTCTGGTCCGAGATCTTATCTGGGTGTACATTTTGGATTTACTTGTGCTGCCTTATCAGTGTTCTTCCGTCTGAAGCAGTAGTTCAGTGTCCCCTGCTCTCATGTGTTTGGCCGTCTAAAAGGGGACCCAGGCCTCTCCTGTGGCTGACCCTCACTTGGGCTGTCACTGCGGTCTCATTGCTAGACTTGGGCATTTGCTCTTGGTGGCAGTGACTGGCCTGTGATGCCATGCTTTTCTCAAAGGATCACTGTGGGGGCAAGAGCGACGTCCACCTATCCTACAAGGTAGTGGTGATGCTGCCCTTCATCATCAAGGCAAGGCAGTGTCTGCCCGGTTTCTCCATTGTAAAGTCACCATTTTCCCTTTTATATCTGTTTGTATTTTGTTGGGAGGGATTCTAATATTACACCAACAACCAGCTCCTCAGTCTCCTCGGAATGATACCTACGTAAATAGATGGTCTCCTGTTTTACACTTTCTGTTATTAAGACAGCACATCCAAACAACAGAATCCCTCCCCAGAGGAATGTAGCATGAACAAAATGAGTTGTGGCGTTGCTTGTGAAATCATGATTTCTCAAAATGTGAAAATTGAGTTTTTGAGGTGGAGTCTCGCTCTGTCGCCCAGGCTGGAGTGCAGTGGCGTGATCTTGGCTCACTGCAAGCTCCGCCTTCCGGGTTCACGCCATTCTCCTACCTCTGCCTACTGAGTAGCTGGGACTACAGGCGCCCGCCACCACGCCTGGCTAATTTTTTTGTATTTTTAGTAGAGACGGGGTTTCACCACGTTAGCCAGGATGGTCTTGATCTCCTGACCTCGTGATCCGCCTGCCTCGACCTCCCAAAGTGCTGGGATTACAGGCGTGAGCCACTGCGTCCAGCTGAGTTTTGAGCAGTTTCTTAGCCTAGCTAGTAAACCTGAGTTCTTTTCTTGAAGCTCTCTTTTTTTTTTGAGATGGAGTCTCGCTCCGTCGCCAGGCTGGAGTATAGTGGTGTGGTCTCAGCTCACTGTAACCTCTGCCTTCTGGGTTCAAGCAATTCCCCTGCCTCAGCCTCCCGAGTAGCTGGTACTACAGGTGCACACCACCACGCCCGGCTGATTTTTTTTTATATTTTCATAGAGACGGGGTTTGACGATGTTGGCCAGGTTGGTCTCTATCTCCTGACCTGGTCAAAGTTCTGGGATTACAGGCATGAGCCACCGGGCCCGGCCAAGTCTATCCTTTTAAAAAAAATTGTCCTATGCCAACTACAGAGAAAACAGGAAATAGAGACAAACAAAGCAATAAAAATACATATACTATTTTCCAGCAGACATGACGACAATCCTATGCCTTCTCTTCCTTTTCTATGCCCTTTAAAAAATGTGATCACATCATACATTGTCTTGTTATCTTCTGTTTCAATTTGCGTGAAAATCTTTCCATGCCATTGGTATAGCTCTGTGACATAATTTTTTAAAATCTTCATATAGTTTTCTTTCTTTCTCTTTTCTTTTCTTTTCTTTCTTTCTTTCTTTTTTTTCTTTTGAGACATAGTCTTGCTCTATTGCCCAGGCTGGAGTACAGTGGCATGATCTCAGTTCACTGCAACCTCCACCTCCTGGGCCCAAGCACTTCTTGTGCCTCAGCCACCCAAGTAGCTGGGACTACAGGTGTGCGCTCCCACGCCTGGCTAATTTTTTGTATTTTTAGTGGAGATAGGGTTTCGCCCTGTTGCCCAAGCTGGTCTCAAACTCCTGAGCTCAGGCAATCCACCCGCCTCAGCTTCCCAAAGTGCTGGGATTACAGGCATGAGCCACCATGCCGGCCTAGTTTTCTGTTTAACCATTTATACTCTTGGGCATTTGGGCTGTTCACAATACTAACAGTTTCAAACAGGGAGAAAGTGAACATCTTTGTCACACCTGCTACAGTTAATGATGACACATGATGAGTGTACAACATTGTGCTGCAGTGTACGATCCTGAAAACCTCGTCTGCTCCTCAGCACCCCCGCCCCCAAGGGCACTTGTGCTCTGCAGTAAAGTAACATCTGAAGACCTTTAAAAAACAGGCCAATCCAGTTAAACTTATAAATCTTATGGGGGAAAAAGAGAAAAAAGTCACAGGAAGGGGAGCATCACACACCGGGTCCTATTGTGGGGAGGGGGGAGGGGGGAGGGATAGCATTAGGAGATATACCTAATGTAAATGACGAGTTAACGGGTGCAGCACACCAACATAGCACATGTATACATATGTAACAAACCTGCACGTTGTGCACATGTCCCCTAGAACTTAAAGTAGAATTAAAAAAAAAAGAGAGAGAGAAAAAAAGTTAAATCTGTAATTTTGGACAGAGAATTGCACAGTGAGGTTTGAAGCTATGTGGGCCCTGACAGAGGGAAGGCACGTGGTTTAGGAGGCATTCCTTTCTTCAACTTTGCCGTAGGAATACCAGGTAAAACCTCAACTTCTCTCTCCTCCTTTCTGACCCTCACATCCAGTCAGCTTTTCTCTGACCTTTTCCTAAGTGGCTGTTTAGAATTCTTTGTGCCCATTCTCACAGTTCTCCAGACAAAATACAGATGCCTATAGGCCCTCCCCTATGCGCCAGGGTGACCCAGAGCAGTGACTAAAAAATGGTGACCTGCTGCCATCAGAACTGTTCACAAATGACCGATCACATCCGTTGGAGGCAGAGGCCGGCGGCAGGGTAGACGCAGCCCTTTACCCTCCCCAGACGTCTCGTGCCCTCGTTTCAGTAGAGTGTGGATGGGCAGGAAGGATATTATGTTCAGAAGGTTCAGGTCTGCTGAATTCATTTGAGGAGGCTGCTTGTTAGTAACATATTAGTCATGGAAATAGTTTGTAGGAGACAAGTGAATGTTTTAAATCATTCAAAGCATAAGAAACATTCAAGCATTGTTGAAATAACAGTAGTATCGATTTTATTTTCTGTTTCTTGATTTTAGTGTATATTTGTTTACTAGCGTAGGGCTTCCTGTGTGAAGAACAGGTATAGAAATATTGACATTCAAGTGTAAAATTGCTACTGACTCTAAATGGAAACTTTGGAGTTGAGTAGTCCTATTTAGTTTATTAATCAGATTAACATTCTTTTCCAAGTTAGGGTATCATCATTGCCTGGTCTGATCTTAAAAAAAAAAAAACTTAAAAAAAAAAGCATGCTTTTGCTCTGTGTTAAAGTAACATGAAGACTTTGTGCAAACATGTGCCAGTTATAGATTTGTGAGTAGTAAAATGGTCATTAATTTAGATTTCTAAGTAAATGTAGCCAAATACATCTTTACTCGAAATGTTAAGGTTGATCTATGATTGAGTGATGCCAGTTGTCTTCAAAAGTTTGTTCAAAGCTAATTGTTGTTCTATTTATTGTGTTTGTGTGTTCTCAGTGTGCCTCTGCCTCCCGAGTTCTTTAGCTATAAAATAGCAGCTCCTTTGACTTAAAACAGGCTGACTGACATGATCTCGCTGCACTCTTCTGTTTTAGAATAATATATAAGTGTTCCATGTGCGACACTGTGTTCACCCTGCAAACCTTGCTGTATCGCCACTTTGACCAACACATTGAAAACCAGAAGGTGTCTGTTTTCAAGTGTCCAGACTGTTCTCTTTTATATGCACAGAAGCAACTTATGATGGACCATATCAAGGTGTGTGTGCGTCTAACCTCTCCTTTAAATGAATTGCAGATCCATTCACTGGTCATAAATCAAGGCTGAGCTGCAGGTGACTCTAAAGCACGCCTCACTGTCGAGGGAAGGGATGGATGCTGGTCGTTGTCAGTGAGCAACTTACGTGCTGTCATCGTGTGTTCACTTGACTGTGGGGTGCTTTTCATTCAGGAGTCCTGATCTGCCTACCAAAAGATTCGTGAAAAGGAACCAATGCCTGCCCTGATGTTAAGAGTAAAAAAGTACTAGGGTTTTTTTTTTCTTTCTTTTTCTTTTTCTTTTAATATGTGAAAATGATGACTGTGAAGTTTTCCTTTCCTTTCTTTTCTTTTTTTTTTTTTGAGAGAGAGTGAGTCTCCCTGTGTCTCCCAGGCTAGAATGCAGTGACACGATCTTGGCTCACTGCAACCTCTGCCTCCCAGGGTCAAGTGATTCTCCTGCCTCAGCCTCCCAAGTAGCTGGGATTACAGGTGTGCACCACCACACCCGACTAATTTTTGTAATTTTTGTATTTTTAGTTTCACCGTGTTGGCCAGGCTGATCTTGAACTCCTGACCTCAGGTGATCTGCCCGCCTTGGCATCCCAAAGTGCTGGGATTACAGGCATGAGCCACCACGCCCCGCCGAAGTTTTCCTTTTCTTGAGAATTCAGTATTGTATAATACTTAGAAACAGACAAGGGCTCTGATGAATTATGCTAATTCATACAAATATTGGTATATTTAGAAAAATGAAGGTTTTTTTCCCTTGAAATTATTTAAGCGGTTAGGTTTGCATTGTAATTAATGCCCCTAAACCTTTTAGTTTCTTTTTTTTTTTTTTCTTTTCTGTAAAGATTGCATTGTAAATGGACTGTTAGATATCTAGGATATAGTATGGTACCTGGCACCTAGTGGTGTTCAGTTAATGAAATGAATAAATATCCAGTGTGGTCTATTTTACTCTCCAACCCCCAAAAGGGGCACAGAAATCTATTTATAGCCTTTTAAGCTTACTAAGTCCAGTGCTTAGTTCTAGCTGCTTAACTGTCCACTGTAATATGTTAAGCATTTTTTTTTTCCTTGTGTGATTAGGAGATAATATCCATTGGCTTTCAGAGATTAAAATGACTTACTTTTTAAACAGAGAAACAAGAGACCCCATATTATCAGGAACTCAATCTCTTTCTTTTAGTTTTGCTCTTTTAAAAATATATTATACAGGCTGGGCACAGTGGGTCACACCTGTAATCCCAGTATTTTGGGAGGCCACGGTAGGTGGATCACTTGAGGCCAACATGGTGAAACCCCATCTCTACTAGAAATACAAAAATCAGCTGGATGTGGTGGTACATGCCTGTAATCCTCGCTACTTGGGAGGCCGAGGCAGGAGAATCACTTGAACTCAGGAGGCAGAGATCGCAGTGAGCCGAGACTGTGCCACTGTACTCCAGCCTGGGTGATAGAACAAGACTCCGTCTCAAAAACAAACAAAAAATTATACAAAAAAGTTCAGTTTGAAGAGCAAGTAAAGTCCCTGAATTATTCTGGTCTCATGTCGGCTAAATGCCTGGATTATGAATCCTTGACATTTGCTGTATTGAACATATGTGAGTTCATGTACAGTAATTGCTTAATGCAAATGAACATCTTGGAGATTGTCTCCTTCTAGGCAAGGTGAAGATAGTGGTGGTGATGGCATTACTCAGGTGAATAAAATGCATGGGAGATGCCTTTCATCATTCTCACTTGAAGTACAGTAAAATCCTCTTAAGATACTTTAACTATTTTAGCTAAAATCACATAATTATTTTGATAGTAAATATCTATTTAATGAAACATCAAGAAGAATTTAAAATTGCTTTGAAAAATTTAGGGATGTTGGAATTAGACCAAAATATTTTAACATACTATATGTGTGCCCACAACAAAAAAAGAAATGAGCAGTTGCTTCTTAAGAGGCTTGTAAGGCATTTGCTTTCTGGAACTCATCTTTGCATCTGGAAGTCGGGTCATCAACTTTGTGGTTAGGGTCTTCCTTGTGTTAATAGTGAATTTGGAGGAATACAAGGTTACAAGAAATAGAAACTGAAGAGGAGTGGTAAAATGCTGTGGCCACAAGGAGGAAATAATTGTTTTTATTAATCTGAACCTATGCAAGACACATGATATGAAAACAGTGGGAATAATCACTTATGTTCTCATTTCATGTATGTTCTATGCATTTAAAAATATCCTGCATTTATATGTTTGGGGATGGGTAAGCATAGTTTTAAAGACATATTGGTGTGTGTTTTTTTTGTTTTTGTTTTTTTTTTAATTTTTAAGATGATCTATTTAGCTCTTTTTATTTATTTACATTGCCTGTGCCTGTTCTGTGCAGTTTTTCATGAGGAAGGAAGAGGAAGTAGAACAGGCACAAGTTTTCTCCACATACATATTCACTTAAAGATGGGGCCTTATTTGCCCAGTTAATCCAATTTGTGTCATTTTCTTCTCCTACCAAAATATAAACTTATTTACTTTGTAGGACCTCCATGTTGCCATTTGTATTTAAAGTAAACTTTCAAGTTACAAACATTCGTTCAAATTAATTATTGTTATAGGAGCTAAGGAAAAATCCATTTGAAAAGAAATAAGTTGTTTCTTTATTTTAAAATGACAATATGAATGAATGAATGAATGAGGCAGGTCTTGCGATGTTGCCCAGGCTGAATGTCTGGTCTCAAGTGGTTTTCCCACCTGACCTTCCAGAGCATCGAAATTATAGGTGTGAGCCACCATTCCCAGGTATTTGCTTTTCAGAGTCTTTTTTTTTTTTTTTTTTAAGGTAAGGTCTCACTCTGTTGCCCAGGTTGGAGTGCAGTGGCATGATTAGGGCTCAAGGCAGCCTCCACATCCTGGGCTCAGGTGATCCTCCAACCTCAGCCTCCCAAATAGCTGGGACTACAGGCATGTGCCACCATGCCTGGCCAGTTTTTGTATTTTGTATTTTTTGTAGAGACAGGGTTTCACTGTGTTGCCCAGGCTGGTCTCAAACTCCTGGGTTCAAGTGATCCTCCAGCCTTGGCCTTCTGAAGTACTGGGATTTACAGGCCTGAGCCACTGCACCTGGCCTTAATAGTCTTTTTTT